AAATTATTTCATTTCAATTTTTATAATAAAACGATTTTATATCAAATGTAAAGTTTTAAATAAGTATAAAAATTAAGTTAGCAAATCCTACAGATGTCCTAAAATTTATGTAAAAAATATATTTTGAATAAGTTATCACATATATTTTTTAAAATTTTAAAATTAATTTTTTCAAATAAATAAAATTTATTTTAAAATTATATAAATTCACAAATGTATACAAATAATTACGCTAGATAAAAATGGTACTTCAAAAAAATTAATTTGAAATGATGAAAATTTGAATTTTGAATTTAATATTTTTTAATGAATTCAATAATTCTATTTATATATAAATCTTTTAGATATTTTATTTTTTCTTAAATATTATTATATGTTTTGAATTTTTTATTTTTAATTAAAAATTAAAAATTATTATATTTATTATATTTTAATTATATTATTTGTAATTTATTTCAAAAAGAACAGAAATTGGGGATAGAACGTGGAGTTTGGATGTAGACATTTGTGGCTAAAACAAAATGTTATCATTATTGTGGGTGTGACATATATAGACAGTACGATATGAGTAATTATTGTAGTCGGTACAATTATTTGAATATACAGTTTGGGTGTGAAATTATTATAGACAGTACAATTATTTGAATATGCAGTGGGGTGTGTTATTATTTGGACAGTACAATTATTTGAATTGTCATTATTATAGACCGTACAATTAATTGAATACGCATGGTGTGTAGTTGTTATAGATGTACAATTATTTGAATGTGTGAAATAATAAATTAGTATTTTTTTTTATCGTTCAACGAGGTATAGTCCTACATTAAAGAAAAGAAGAAGAGGTTGAGATTTGAATTCTAACTTTTGGTGTCTTCTTAAGTTACCTTGATCAATAGGTCAAAAGACTGAAGACAGGTGTCATTCATATATGTCAATAAATAATTTTATACGTATATGTCACATTTCAATTATAAATTTATAGATACAAATGGTAAAAGTGATTGAATTTTAAATTTTATTTTAATTTATTATAATTTAATTTTATTTAAGAGACATTTAGTTTACAAAATTTTAAATTTTGAAAAAAAATGATTTTTGAAAAAATATAATTATGGAGAAAATATATTTTTTCATGATATCTCGTTTTTAAATTGTTATGTTTGATTAAAAAAATATCATATTATTTAATAATATATTTTTATTATAATATCTTTTAATGCATAACAAACATTATAATTTATCAAATAAAGATAATAAACAATTAAAACATTTTAAATCGTAAAAACATAATATTTGAATGATCAATTATAAAAAATTAATTATCAATTATTATATTAATTTTATATAATAACTAATTATACACATATTTTTAAAAAATTATAAAAAATAATTACTATATTTAACATAAAAACACATTAATTAATTAATTTTTAAAAAAATAATATACAATTACATCTTTTATCTCAACAAAATATAATTTTTTTTAAATAAATGATAATGACTACAATTACTGTGGCACATGGGTCCACTTCTTTGTCTTTTCTTTAACTAGTCACTGCATCTCTCAACAGAACAAAACTTTATTACTTGATTATTTGTCACGTGGGTTCTTGTAATAGTGCTTTGGAACCGGCACCCCATTGCCTTTAATCTTGTTTATCAATTGGATTTCTTTACTTTTTATTCTATACTCTCATTTTTCAAATATTGTTTTTCGTTTCGCAGAAATGTAATAAATAATAATAAATATTGTATCGATTTTTTCTTCTTAACTTAGTGATTAAGAAATGGATTGAAAATTATGTAAGTGTGAGTTTGATTTCGTCATTTTTTTTCTTATAAGGACACTAACCTTTATTTGTAATAAAAAAATAATAAATATTGTATTTTAAAATCTATAAATATAATTATTATTTGAGAAAAATTTTAACAATTTATAAGTTATCAAATATTGTATTTTTATTTTAAAAAATGTAATCAATTATAATAAATATTACGTTTCAACCTAGAAAATACAATATTTAAGTAGAAAAATAAATAAAAAATTAACCAATTATTAAATACTTGGTATTTATTAAAAAAAGTAATAAATAATCATAATTACTATGTTTAAAAACCTATAAACATAGTATTTGAATGAAAAAAAAAAAAAAAAGACAAAACAATCACTATTACTATGTTTGGTTTCATATCAACGTTGTATTTGATATTAAAAAAATTCAAATACTATATTAAATATTCCAACAAATGTAATATTTGTGATATTTATTTTAAAAGAGTAAAATAGATAAAAATAATTTTTTATTCAAGTTAGATGTAAAAAAAAATTAATTTTTCTCTCAAAATTAAAAAAATAAGTTTTTGATTCTAAAACTTTAAATACTATTAATAATCTAATATTATTCCCAATAATCAAATACCCCAAACCAAATGTAAGAATTTAAATACCTAAAATCATTATTTTTTAAATAAATAAAATTTATCTTTAAATTATATAAATTTACAAGTATACAAAAATGGTTGCATTGGATGAAAATGACACAAATGAAGAAAGTTAATTTGAAATAATTGAAAATTTTAAATTTTAATTAATATTTTGTTGGTATACTCAATAATATTATTTATATATAAATCTTTTGGTTATTTTATTTTTCCTTAAATATTATTATATGTTTTAAAATTTTAATTAAAATTAAAATTTTATTATGTTTTGATATCTTAATTATATTATTTATAGTTTACATATATATTAAACATATAAATAATTAGATAATATTAATTTATATATTACAGAAATAAAAAAACTAACTAGGTAAATAATTTGATTGATATTGACCGTCCAGGTCTAACCAAGTCATTGCCATACTTTAATGTGGAAAAGAGAATCAGATAAGTTTTTTATCATTATATCTCCATTAGAGATTTTAATTTAAATTTCAAAATAATTAAAAAAGTAAAATTTATTGTTTTCTAAAACGTGAAAAGACTACCTTACTTTATTGAAAAAAGAAAAGAAAATGGGTGCAAAACAAGAGGTGGGATCAGGCATCTGTGGCTCCAAAAAAGGTTATTACAATTGTAGTTGTGCAATTATTGTAGATAGTACCATTTCAAATATAAATTTATAAATAGGGATGATAAAAGTGATTGAATTTTAAAATTTTGTTCGATCTATTATACTTTAAATTTTACTTAAAATTATTTAATAAAAAATTTAATAATTTAGATCTTCATACCTAATTCATATTTAAAATATAATTCGAAATCAAATCAATATCAAATTTGATAAATTTAGTAAACAGTCCAAAATTTTGAAATTTAAATTTGATAATTTACTATTACAACTAAAAGAATTTGTTTAATTATTTAAAATAAGCTATTATATGTTAAAAAGAAAAAAAGAAAGTTAATCCCTCCACTAATAAATCAAGAGCCCAGGAATAATAACTTTACAAACTTGCCCTCAGATTTTTGTGGACCAGGAAGAATAGAAGCGAGTGATACTCACACAAGATAAACTCAAAAGACAAAGAGAAAAAGACCAAAATAATAATAATAATAATAATAATAAAAAAATGACTTCGTGTTCCAAACTGAACTTTCCTTTTTCTTTATTTTGTTCTTCCAATATTCAAATTTTGATTTTCATCTAACTGCCATTGCAATTCATTTCGCTTATTTTTCTTTTTCTGCTCTATTTTTTTTTCCATTATCTACTTATACTTTGGCTAAAATATAAAAATTCCTTAAAATATTCAAAACAATGTAACTAAACTCTTATATTATTATTGCATATAAATAAATTCTCAATTTTTATTTTTCACTATTTAAGCAATTTTATCCTTAAATTAATGACATGATAATATGTTTTAATAATAAATAATGATGTGAGAAATAAATGTAAATGTGTGTAAAAATAAAAATATAAAAAACTCATAGCCTAATAAAAATTTTTATTTATTGACACATGATAACAAATAATTATTCAAAAATATAATAATATATTTATAATTTAAAAAAAGAAATGATTAGATTTATATAAAAATTAATAAAAATAATTAATTATTTGACATCATAATCGAAAATAATTAGTAAAAATAAATCTATATAAGTTAACTTATTATTTATTAATAAAAAGAACATGGTTATATATAAAATTAATAAAAGAGAAAAATATTTATCTATATATAAAAATTAAAAAATGATTAATTAATTGATACTGTAATAAAAAATAATTAGTGAAAAGGAAATTTATGTATGTATAATTAATAAAAAAGGAAATATTTATATATATTAATATGAAAATTAAAAAAATTATTTTAATTTGCTTTTTATTAATTTTTATATAAATATAGATATTTTCATTTTTATATAAATTTTTATATAAATGTAAATATTTTCATTTTTTAATTTTATCTGTAGACATTACTTTTTATTAATAAATAATAATAATTTGTTATTTTTATTAAAACTATACATAAATTGAAAATATATATTATTTGATACAATAATAAAAAATAATGAATGAAAAGATGTCCATATGCAAAATTAACAAAAAAATGAAAATACTTTTACGACCTCTAATGTACATGTTAGTTGACTAAATGTACATATATATTTTATTTACATTTATATATGACAATCATTTGCAATTTTGAGCTAACCTTCAATAAATATTAAGATCATAAAAGTTTTTTTTTATTAATTTTAAATATTAGTATTATTTTTTAAAATATTTTTTAATTATGATACCAATTAAAAAAATTTTGTCAAGCCACTTTTTTCCAATGAAAATTTTTTATTTTTTTTACATTTTTTGTTGTGTATATTTTTATCACATAATTATCTACATGTCTTAAAATATGTTAATATATAATTAATTTAATTATAAAAACTTAACTAATAAAAATAAAAAATAAAAAATAATTTAAAAATAATATAAAAGCTTTATTAAATTGTTTTGAATACTTTTTTTTTTCATATTTTAAATTTATTCTTTTACCCTATTGCACTGACCTGGATTCACCTTAATTTTTTTTCTACGCGCCTCATTTTATTCTTATTCTTTTTATTTTTAAATACTTTATTATCATTCTCTTTTAACATTTTAACCTTATTATTTTATCCTTTCGCACTAATCTCAAGTCACCCTAACCTTTATTTTTCTACTTATGCCCCTCAATTTATTCTACTTTTTTAAATACTTTATTCCCATAAGCTTAGGTACAAGAGACGAGGTTGGAGAGCAATGCGTGAATTCATAAAACCTGTCTCACACTGTTCGCGTCTTTTAAATAGTATTACAACGTGATCGGTGCATAGTTAATGAATTACTTTTTAGGTGAAATTATTAGAACTAAATTCTGATCAATAAAATTAAAAATAATATTTTATTACACGTCCGTAACGATAAATAAATATTTATTTTGGTGAAACGTAAAATAGAAGTTACTCAGAAAAAAAGAAAATCCAAATACAAAACGGAGTAGCGTCTCCGGGACTCGAAGTCAACTATAAAAAAAACTGCTTTTTGCCATAAAAAAAGATATTTGTTGACGCACAAGATTAGATAAAGGCAACCACACGATATATTGCTGAAAAGATTACCTTTGTTTCCCTAAAACAATTTGTGGTTGCATTTCCTCTTTCTTTCCCAACTCTTAAGAGTTCAATTATGGCGGAATCATTTCTTTTCAATATTGCGGAAAGGGTTCTGGAGAAAATAGCCCACGTCGCTGTGGAAGAACTTCGTTTGGCCTTTTGTGTCAAAAGAGATTTGAGAAAGCTCCAGGAGACCATGAGCAGCATTAAAGCTGTGCTTTTGGATGCTGAGAGGCAGCAGCACCAGAATGAAATCTCCAAAAGATTACATCCAAAGACAAAAGAAATCAATAAAGCCAACCTACTGTCATTCCTTTTTCTTTTTTCTTCATTTCCTTCCAACTTCAAAGAAAAAGGAAAAACAAATCCAACTTTCAGACTTTTACCTGTTGACATGCAACCATTTGTTGTGTCCCCAAGGGCATGAACATGGAATCCATGGTGCAAAGGCTTAGGACCAGAAGTTCCCAGTCACAGAAGTTGGACCTAAAAAGGGCAGAAAAGATTAAATTACTTTGTCATAAGAGACAGAAATACAGAGACCAAGAGGTCTTATCAGGCTTGTGATTTACCACCTCCTCACTTGAAAGAAGAAAACAGTTCCACTAACACCTTCACTTTTGCTAAGGACCGCTACTGCCTCCCACCATTTTTCCATGTGATCTACACTACACAATGTTAGATATGCCAGCAAATAATTTTACCTCAATGAAAGATATCTTTGATAGCAACATTAAAAACAATGGAAGAAAAGGCTCAAAAATCATAATTCTGATAGTGTATATAAAATCAAAAGTAATTCTCTGTTTCACCAGTAACCACATCACCAACACATTTTTAGAAGCCCCATACATAAACGCTGGTAATTTCCCAAATTAATTAATTATAGACTGATGGCACATCAAATATAAACTCATCAAAGTTTGGTAAATAGATATAATAAATACATCTAAAAATCTAACAGGGCTCTAAACTCAACCAACCATTGGAGAAATTTGAGGAGTTACCAAAATACAATTAATAAGCTAAATCTTCACCATTTATGGTAATTTCACCCAACTAAAAATGGATTGTTTTCATGCACTATATTTTATTCATATAACAGCAAAGAAAAAAAAAAACTTGTCTCAACTAAGATTAGAAAATAAAACTTGAAAAGAAAATCTGACTTTCAAAAAAGAACTTGAAAATTGAACTACTTTCATCAGCATAGAATCCTTCTTCGATATGTATTTTTCAAAAAAAAAAAAACTTTTTTTCTAACTTTCTTCAATCATCAACCAAAAAAATAGGATTCACAGCCATCAAAATCAAGCTTATCTTATACAGAAAAATGATAATAAAAAATTAACAAGAAAGCAAAATCTAGGTAAAAAAAAAAAAAAGAAAATCTAGAGCAGGCCTTCCATAACAGCTGAAGAACAGCAAAATCAAACGTAAGATCTAAAGAAAAGCAAAAGACAATAACACATTAGCACCTCTTAGTCTATGGTAAGCAGCAGCAAACTCGAGTTTCGAAAGGGAAAACGCATGACCCAGATGTAAAAAACCATTCATATACGGAAAAGGAAAGTTCCCAAATGAATTTTTCACCTGGTTGAGGAGGTTTTTCACAAGGCTCTGCCTTAAACACATCTTTTTCTTCCCACCAAACTCTAACTTTTGACTTAATTTCCAGTAGCTTATCTCTCCTTGCATAGCTCTTGCCTCCCTCAGCTGCCATCTCGTGAAACTGGTGGAAAATGTTTAAAAAAATTCATAAAAATGAAACAGAAAGAAAATGAAAAAAAAAAAAAGGAATGGAAAAATCTTTGAAAATGTAAGTGCCTCAGTCTATTGAGGAAGATGGCGTTGAGCCTACGGGCGGGCTCTTGAGATCGAAGAATCTTGGCTGAGTGGCGGCGGTAACAGAGCAAATGAGTTGAAATGAGCGAGGATATAGAGAAAAGAGGGAGAGTGCGTTGAGTTTAAGGTAACAAAGCAAATGGGTCGAAATAGAGAGATGATGAAGAGAAGAAAAGAGGGAGACTGCGTTGAGTTCAATTTTCGGTTACAGTTTACTGGGCTAGATTTTTCATTCGTTTGTTATTACAGGTTTTTAGGGTTTTAATAATTATTGATTTTAAATTAAATAGGCCTGCCCCAACATTTATTAATAGATGAAGAAACTCAAACTGCTAAGAGAAGGACATGGCCCAATTTCTACGACTTTTTCTCCTGGCTAGTGGCTGAGAAACCAAAGCCCAATTACGGGTGGCAAATTTTATAGTCTGATTTATGGAATATAATATAAGAATGATAGTATTAAAATATTTTATTAGTTTTTTTTTCTTAAAAAGAGATGTTTGATTAGTTAAAAATATGTAAAAGAATATATTAGGAATGAGTACAAAATATGATTTTACCTTTTTACTAAAAAACTTTAATTAATATTTTTTAAACTTTTAAGTACATCGTTTTATATTAATGAGAAAATACTTTTTTTTATAAAAATTACATTTTAATAAGAATTTCAATTTTTTATTTTGTTTTATTTTTTTATTTTGTTTCCTATTGTTGAATTTGATTTTGATATAATTTCAATGGCTTTCAGTTGCTGAAATGTCGATTTTGGGATTATAGCAAACAGATATGTTACTAACACACCAAATTAAGACTGTCCACAATCATATATTGGACTTCGATGAGCTAGATCTGTGATTCAATGACCTAATCTGAATCCAACAAGTCAAATCGTTATTACCAGTGATCGATTCTAGTTGCTGGCACTAGATCCACACTGCCAACCAATTTTGGTTGTTGATATTATGGTGAATAATGATTTTGATGAAATTGAATTGGCTTGGGTTTGGTGATTTTAGACAATGAATAAATTATAAATTTTTAGAATTTAATTGAATTTTTATATTAATTAATTTAAATAAAATTTTATTGATTTAATTTATTATTTTTAAAATTTTTTATATATTTAAATAAATTTAGATAAAAATAATTATTTTTATTTTATAACAATTTAAAAAATATTTAAATTAATAAAAATATATAATTTAATTCGATTTAATTTTTTTAATTGTTCACTTTTTAATTTAAAATTTAATTTAAATATAATATATATTTAAAATTAAAATTTAATTATAATAAAATAAAAAATTAATTTAAATTAAATCAAATATTATTATTTTGAATAATTTTTAATTTTTTTAAAAAATTTTTCTTATCCTTAATACTCGATCGGTGCTCAAATAGTCGAAAATCCCATATTATCAAATAAGTTTTGTTGTTGAAAAAACATGAGAGAGAAAATAAATAATTAAAATACAAAATTAAAATTTTAAATTTTATGTCAAAATAAAATAATCATTAAATATTATTTGACAAGAATAACGATTATCATGAAAGGGGGCAATGATTATCATGGAAGCCAGGTCCAAGGAGAAGAGGCTCGAGAGCAGTAATTGAATCCATAAAACCCGTCTCATACTGTCTCCGTGACTTTTAAATAGTATTACAACGTGATCAGTGCATAATAAATTTTTTTTCTTTCATAAGTGGGTAAATGTTCGAAGAAAAAAGACGATGAAATTAAAATTTACGCTCATAAATATATTTTTTAAAACTTTTTAATCATTAAATTAAGAAATAAAAAATTATCGGTGCATAATAAATGTTTTAATTATTATGTGAAATTACCATAATTAAATTTTGATCAATAAAATTAAAAATAATATTTTACCACCCGTCTTTAACGACGAATAGATATTTATTATAGGATAACGTAAAATAGAAGTTACTCAGAAAAAAAATTAGTTCAAATGCAAAAAAGATTGGCGTCTCCCGACACTGGAAGCAACTATCAAAAAAGATACATTTTTTTTCCAATAGAAAAGACATCGGTCGATGCACAAGATTAGATAAAGGCAACCACACGATAAGGGTTACTAGACTTTTCCCATTGAAAATATGGGTCTGCGTTTCAGAGGAATTTACACTTATTAGATTGCTCAAGCTGATTATTCACTTCGTAAATAAACAAGAAAAATGTGATGATTCAACATTTGAGGCCTTGCAAATTTGTTTGCAAAGTCTTTTGAATGCTAAAAAGTTTTTACTCATCTTAGATGATGTGTGAAATGAAGATGGTGAGACATGGATTAAGTTAAGAAATTTGTTGAAGTTAATAGGTAATTTTTTTCAAAATAAAATCATTGTGACTACTAAAAGTTTGAAGCTTACGAAAATATGAGTTCAATTCACCCTCATGAAGTGAATTTTTTTTCAATAAAGTGGATTTCATAACAATTTAATTATATATTATTTTAAATTTTAAAATAGAATTTTTATTTTTAAAGTTTTTTTCTCAAATATTATATACATTAAAAAATCATAATTTATTTTTTAACTATATTTTTAATATTAATTTAATTCTATTACTTAAAATTTAAAATTATTTTATTTTAATTTTTACAATAACACAATTTTATATCAAACGTAAAGTTTAAAACAAATATAAAAATTAAGTTGACAAATCTTATGCATGTGCTAAAACTCGTGCAATTATGAATAAGTTATCATGTATATTATTTAAACATTTGAAATTATTTTTTAAAATAAATAAAACTTATTTTATGAGATATTTTATTTTTTAAAAAATATTATTATACGTTTTGAAATTTTGAAATTTTGAATTAAAAATTATTATTTTTTATATTTAGTTATATTATTTATAATTTATATATTAAACATATAAATGGTTAAATAATATTAGTTTATATATTTAAATATATTTAAATAAATAAAAATAATTTGTATGTCATACGAATAAAAATATAATTAAATAAATAATTTAATTGATATTGATCAATCTAATGTAATCTAATAAAGTCATTGCCATACTTTTAATGTGGAAAAAAAATCAGATAAGTTTGCAAATATCTTGTCGTAAAACTAGGGACGGCAATCAATCCCATCCCCAACGGGTTTCGACTCGACCCGATCATATGAGGTTGGATTTTTTTTTTTTAATTTCGATTTTCGGGTGGGGTATAGTTAGGGAATAGTCGGGTTGGGTCGGGTCGGACATGCATAAAACCCGACTCGATATTATATAAAAAATTATTTAATTAATTAATTAATTAATTATATATATTTATATAATGATATTTTTAAATATTTATATTCAAAAAATAATATTTTATTAATTTGAATCGGATCGAATCGAATATGATTTACATCATATCAAGTCAAAGTTAAATTCAAATTCAGATATTAAAAAAATCGAATCGAATTGAGTTCAGATATGTTAAAACATAAAATTAGGTCAGATTCGAGGTGAACAAAATCCACTTCGAATCTGACCCGATATCATCCCTACGTAAAACACACAACACTAGAGCATCAATAATTTTCTCATCCCAATAAGTTAGTAGAAGTAAGATACAATTTGTTTTGTCTTCTCTCTTATCTTATTGGCTGTTATGTCAACAAAAGTTCACGTAAATTTCAATGACTAAGCCAATAAACATTCAACATACATGGATAGATACAGATAGAATATGTTTTTCATTTTTTTATGAAAGAAGTTACAATTTTAAATAAAATTTTTAAATTAAAATTAAAATTTTAAATTTATTAAAAATTATATTTTAACAATAATTATATAAATTAATTAAATTAAACTCGTAATTTTCTTTTTGACCTTTATATCTCCATTAAAGACTTTAATTTAAATTTTAAGATAATTAAAAAATTTTTTTTTTTCAAATGTGAAAGCCTACCTTACTTTATTGAAAAAAGAAAAGTAAATAGGGATGGAACGTGGAGTTTGGATGCAAACATTTGTGGCCAAACAGAAAAGCTAGTATTATATAATGATTTAGACAGTAAAATATGGGTAATTATTATAGTCAGTACAATTATTTGAGTATGCAATTGGGTGTGTGAAATACTAAATTGACGTCATTCATTATGTCAGTAAGTAGCTTTATAAGTATCTGTCACATTTCAATTATAAATTTATACACACAAATGGTCAAAGTGATCAAATTTTAAATTTTCGTTTAATTTATTATAATTTAAATTTTATTTAAGAGATATTTAATTTACAAAATTTTAAATTTTAAAAAAGGTATGATATTTGAAAAAATATAACTATAGAGAAAACATGATTTTTCATGATATTTAATTTTTAAATTTATGTTTGATTCAAAAAAATCTCATATTTTTTAATAATATATTTTTATTATAATATCTTTTACTCCATAATAAACATAATAATTTATCAAATAAAGAAAAATATAACAAATGCATTTTGAATCGTAAAAATGCATTATTCTAATGATCAATTATAAGAAAAAATTAATTATCAATTATTATGTTAATTTTATAAAATAATTAATTATACACATATTTTTAAAAAATTACAAAAAATAATTACTGCATTTAACTTAAAAAACACAATAATTAATTAATTTTTAAAAAATATAATATACAATTACTATTTTTATCTTAAAAAAATATATTTTTTATGATTTTAAATAAATGATAATGACAACAATTACTGTGGCACAAGGGTCCACTTTTTTGTCTTTTCTTTTACTTGTCACTGTGTCTTTCAACGGAGCAAAACTTTATTACTTGATTATTTGTCACGTGGGTTCTTGTAATAGTGCTTTGAAACAAGCACCCCGGTGCCTACAGTCTTGTTTATCAATTGGATTTCTTTACTTTTAATTCTATGCTGTCATTTTTCAAATATTGCTTTTCGTGTAGCAGAAGTGTAGTAAATGATAATAAAAATTGTATTTTAAAATCTATAAATGTAATTATTATATGAAAAAAATTTAAAAAAATTTTAAGTTATCAAATACTGTAATTTTATTTTAAAAAATGTAATAAATTATAATAAATATTACGTTGCAGCCTACAAAATACAATATTTAAGTAAAAAAATAGGTAGAAAAATTAACCAATTGTTAAATACTTCGTATTTGTTTAAAGAAATGCAATAAATAATTATAATTAATATGTTTTAAAACCTATAAACATAATGTTTGAATGAAAAAAATAAAAAAAAATTTAGACAAAAATAATCACTATTGTTGCTTTTGGTTTCATATAAACGTT